AAAAAAAGTACTACAAATCACTATAGCTAACAATTTAAAATATTTTTAAAATCATATAAAAATTTCAATAACTTCTCAAATTCCATAATATGACATAAATTAAAATTTAAAAATATATATATATTGGGCCCCGTGCTGGCACGGGGTCCTATATCTAGTTATATAATATGTTGCTAGAAGTTAGGCTATATTATTTTTTTCATGAAATATTAATTATTTAAATAGTGATTAGAATTTTGATCAAATTAATTAAATTTTAGCCATTAATTTTTTTACTATGTCATGTGTCTCAATTCCAAATAAGAACTTAAAGAAAATAGAAAAAAGAGAAATGCAGAGGAACCAAATCCACTTACAACACACTCTAGTTTCATCTCAAATATATGACATAATTCAATTTAGGGAAAATTATATATAATAGCAAACTACTAATTCAAATTAAATGCTATAAATATACTTTGATTTAATTGTACCCTATAGCAAACTATTGCTATTTTCGCCACTCTCCCTGGTGGAATCTCGCTCGCCACTCTCGTGTGGTGGCAGTCTCGCTCGCCTCTCTCGCTTTTATACAAACACAAATGTATAAAATGCGTTTGTGTTTGTATAAAGCGAGAAGAAATTGTATATATACATATATTTCCGTTCCCCTCTCTCCCCTCTCCCAGATCTCGCTCGCCACTCTCCCAAATCTCGCTCGCCATCCTCGCCTCTCTCGCTTATACAAACAGAAACAAAATGTATAAATTGCGCTTCTACTCTTTCTCGTTTTATACAACAGAATTGTATAAATTGCGTTTTTGTTTGTATAAAGCGCGAGAAAATTGTATATACACATGCAAATACATATATCTTCGTCCTATACACTTATAATTATACAATACAAATATTTTCCTGCCCAGTTTTCTTTTGCCTTTCTCTCTTTCTCGTTTTATACATACACAGATTATACAATTGATCTTTTGTATACAACTGCTTTCTTTTGTATATGTATAGCGAATTATACATATTTATGTTTGTTATGGAGCGCAATTATGCAAACTTTGCTATAGCATACAAATATGAATTTTGTGTTTGCTATAGCCTATATGTAAAAGTTGCTCTTCAATTTATTATCTCGTTCATACAACATTTAAATTCCTTTAACTATACAAATAGCAGAGGTGTATCCAAGATTTTGAGATGATGGGTGTACTGTTATAAAAAGGTTGATCTTTGATATAAATTTGATCAGTTCGACATTTAGAAAGAAAATTAAAACAAGATAAATATAAAATTTAAATTTCTAACCTCGCGGAGAGAGGTGCACCCAGTCATAATCGCATTATGTGATACTTCAAGTGTGGGTTCACACATCTATATTTCAATATTTTTCTAAAATATAACACTACTATATATGATCTCGGGAGGGGACCATGGGTTCACGTGAACCCGGTGACCCCCCTTAGATACGCCTCTAACAAATAGTATTATTAAAGTTCAATATGATACTTATTTACTGAACTAACTTAAAACTAGTAGTTTAATGTTTTCTTTCACTTTAGTTACATAGTACATTAAGGGGTCGTTTGGTAGAAAAAATGCAGGAATTAGTAATGCAGGGATTAGTAGTGTTGGGATTAGTAATGCAAGGTATATTTTTTATCAAGTGTTTGGTTCATTGCTTTTGATCTCATCTTGTGTTTGGATTAAAACTCTACAAAATGCTTCTTTCCAATTATACCCTTGCATTATTATGAGATTTTCTATTTTATGTAATCGATCAAGGTAGATAATTGCCGGAACAATATTATTTTTTTATGACCTTCTAACTAGCTAGGAGAAACAATTTTGTTGTCATGTTTGCTATTTTTCACTTGAATTATTTGAGGGTAAACAATTATTATCTTAATAAATTAATCACTTAAAAAACGTTAATTTTCAATTTAGAATAGATAGACTATCTACTTTAAAATCGAAAAGACGGTAAACAATAGTAAAATCGAATAAATCATCTACATTTACACATAAAAATTACAAGTTGCAGTTTTAATATGTATGCAATTTATTAATTGTTCAAAATACAAATAATTAGAAACCACATATATATCGACAAATAATATATTAAATTAAGATCACAAACGTCATGTGGTGATATATTTTCCTTTTCAATTAGTAAAAGTTAAAGAACTCACATTTTAAATATTGTATTGATATGTATTGCATTTATTTATTAACAAACAACTCTCTCTAAATAATAAAATTTGAAAGCTAATTTATTTAAATAAATTTTTCTAATACAAATATAAAACATAAAATCAAGAAAATAAATAAAATGATTTGAGGGATATTTTTTTCTTTACATAGATAATCTCATGATAATAAATCCAATGTATTACTAATACCACCAAATGGAAGGTATTAGTAATGCATCTTATAATACCGTGTAGGGTATATAACTAATTAGTTATACTTAGGCCCAAAAATTCTACCAAACATAGTACTAAATAATTTCATACATAATACATTGACTGTTTCTCCTAATACCTCCTACCAAACGACCCCTAAGTAAATTTATTGTCAATTGTTTGCCCAATCATGTTGTATGGATGTGTGTTGCCAGTAAAGAACTAACGCGTTCAGAAGCTGAAAATATTTAATTGGATGTGCAGTCATACTAAGAGAGATCGGAATAGAAACGAAGATATACAAGAGAAGGTAGAAGTAATCTCTTTGATTAACAAGATGAAAAAAATGATATAGAGATAGTTCAGGCATGTGAAGAGGGGCATAGATGCCCCAATGAGGAGGTGCGGAATGTTGACAGTCATAGGTCTAAGGAGATGTAGAAATAGACAAAAAAGAAATAAGGGAAAGTGATTTGACAAGACATATCTACAATTCATTGTTGACATAATTCTAGATTAATTAAAAAACATGGAGGTAGATGATTAAGGCAGAAGGTTAACAAATAGTTGAGCAATTTCTGTCTTGTGGGAGAATATGATTCTAGCTTGGAGTAGCTTATTTGCTCCTTATTATCATTTTTTTTTTTTCATAATCTTATTCTTCAATTTATCACTAATGTTCTTCTTTTGCTTTGGTTCTTATTATTTTTGCTGTCAATATATCTCTCCTTTTAGTATTTTTTATCCAAGCTTCTTTCACCTTATATTTTTCAAACCTAAAATATTTTTCATGAATTACGAGTCTGTAGAAAATAACTTCTCTACCCATCATGTCAAAATGGGATGGAAGGTGAATAATGGAAACTTTCGAAATAGTGAATTAGTAGCATTTTATGAAAGAAGGGGTTCAATTCTAGAGAAGCACTAATATATGCTCTATTCACAAGTCTACATTTCTCAATTTCATTCTGTATTAGTTCATTCCTTCTATATGGTTTAATTATTTTTATTAATATTCATGTGGTAAGTGCATCAGCAGCATGTAGTAATAAATTCAAAGATCACCACCCTCTTAACACAAACAAGTAAGAAATGAAATAGACACAGTTATGTCTCTCCTGGCTCAAAACCTCCAGGCTAAGGTCTAGTGATTAGGAATTTTTTATGTTGTTTTTAACAAGCAAAAAGGTTTTCAATGTTAGCTTAAAGTAGAGAAATTCGTTTAGAATTTTTATACCATGACAACACTCACTAAAATTGTGCTAATATACAGGGATTTCCTTTGCCAAAAATCTGCAGTCAGATTTCTCAAGAATCAAAATCCTATTGAAATCTCATCCTCTTCTCTAACTTATTTTTACCTCTATCGGGTGATTGCCTCTTTGATGCAGATGCAAGGTTCTCCTTTGCCTTCCCGCTGTTGATAAACTGAGAGAAAGACAGGATGGGTGGTAACTTTGCACTTGCAGATCCATGTATGGGTGAGGCTGGTGAACTTATTGGATCTTGTGGTCCAGCGTTGTCATGAACTTCTTCGTGATTAGCCTTTGCAGGCACCGAAAGATTTGATGATGCTGGAGTGCAGTCGGCTATGGATGTTACATTCTCAGGAGGAGGAGCAGTACTAGAACTGCTGAGCTTATTCACCAATTCCATAGGACCTGCTGTAGAAAGCCACCTAGCTGTACTTGCCATTTGTGATAAATAGAAAGACTTTCCACTTTTGCCATACTTCTTATAACATTCATTTTCAAGAAAAACTACGGATTTATCAATGTCAATCCTGGAGAATATACAGAAAGTATAAAAGGTGATGAGAGAGCAGAGTTTTATGTGAGAAGAAACCCTTTTAGCTACAAAGTCTGAAAGATAATACAGAGCAATGTCATACCTCGAATCGTTGACCATCTGCTGGTTTTGCTTTATTGCATTCAGCAATCTCTGCTTGCCAGCTTCCCTGAGTGTTTCAGGTATGGCATTCTTGTCAAGTTTATTGACCTATTATGGTAAAACAAAATATTAGGCCATGCAGACAAATGTTAGTTAAGCCACATTAGGTTGGGGTTAAAATAGCTATCATAGTTGGAAGTGGAAGAGGAGGGTTATAGGTGATTTCCCTCATTTGATAAAGAAGTAAGACTAGAGAGCCTGATATATCCTCATAACCAAAAAAAACCCAGAGAAAATCATTAATATTCCACATAAGAGGAGTAAACTAATGAAACTCTCATCTTTACCCTTCTCCCTCAATCGAGTAAACAATTTTTTTATGATAGTTGTGTCCGGGCCAGTTTGCGCACACCTCGACTATTCATAATGGAATAGACATTAAGCAGATAGAAATTAACAATTAGGACAGACAAGCTCACAAGCATCTCACAATGTAGATCTTCTACTTTACAAAAGGTTTAACATATTTAGAGATTCTACCAATTAAGGGACTGCACAAAGGAGCAGTTGGATTGACTGCATATTTCAGTTTTTTCATCATGTAAACTCCAGACCACTTAGAGAAAGTACATCTAAGAACACAGTTGGAGATTCTTCTGGCAGCAAAGCTTGCTTTCAGTTATGGTCCCTCAACAATGACACATTGACCAGCAGAAATGAAGATTAACAAGGACAGTTTAAAAAGGTATTAACAAAGTGGACATATAATTTAATATTACCTTGGGGAAATTCAATGGAACGGGAGAAGTCAAAATATCAAGTTACAGAAAATTAGAGGGTCTTTAAAGTCATGAATCGTAGGACTGAATAATGTTGGCGCAGAGACTAGGGTCTCTGTAAAGAATAGAGCTTTTGGTTACAGATACAAAAAAATGTTTAAATGCTCCAGAAAGTGTTAAAAAGGCATGGGAGAAATGCTTCAATGCATCTGTTTTTAGCAGTATTTCCTATCAAAACTAGATTTAGAGAGTAAGAAGTCACCATTGCTCGGACGACCTAAAAGTATAGAAGATTCTAAATATAATTTCTTCCAGTTGTCAGAGGAAGAGCAGAGTTGGCTAGAAAGGCCTTTTGAGGATATTGAAGTGCTGAATAGTATCAAGATGTGAATCGCTGACATGGCTCTTGGACCTGACGACTACACCACGGGCATCCAATTTTGCTGGAGATATTAAAAGGGGATATTATGCAGGCCTTGGAAAACTTCCATTCACAAGAATATTTTGAAAAAAATAATAATCAATGCTACTTATGTGGTGGCTTTAATACCTAAGAAGGATGGAGCAAGAGATCTGAAAGATTTCAGATCAATTAGTCTGATTGGAGATGTATATAAGATAAATATCCAAGTTCCTCAGAGAGATAGAAAATGGTGGTGGAGAAATTAGTGGATAAGTAACAAATGGCATTCATAAAAGATAGGTAAAATCATGGATGCTGCCTTGCTAGCAAATGAGGTAGTAGACAGTAGACACTAGATAGAAAAGTAAGATACCAGGGCTTCTGCGCAAGCTGAATGTAGAAAAAGCATTATCATCATGTCGATGTGGATTTCTTTATTCAGATCCTAAAGGATATGGGTTTTGTTACAAAATGGCTAAAATAGATTTCTTTCTGCATCAGAACTGTAATATTATCAATCCTTAGAAATCGAACCCCTGAGGGTTTTCCCCTTTCCAAAGGGGGTTGAGGCAAGGGGATCCCTCGTCTCTTTTCCTCTTTATTATTGCAATGGGCGGTCTAAACAATATGCTGAAAATGGCTAGTGCTGATGGTTGGATTAGAGGTTTTTAGATAAATAACATGAATGATGGTATGGAGATCTTTCAGTTACTCTATGTTGAGGACTCACTAATCTTTTGTGAAGTTAAGGTTGAGAAATTAAGGGTGATCCGACTGATTCTTACAGTTTTTTGAAGCAGTATCTGGCCTTCATATCAACTTGGGTAAGTCAGTTAATTTTGTCAATATGATTGAACATCTTCTTGTGCTGGCTGGTGTTCTGGGATGTGATACTGGAATACTACCTACATTATATTCAGGATTGGCTTTAGGAGAAAAGAAAAAGTCCATGGAGATATGGAATGGTGTGATTGATAAATGTGAGAAGAGGTTACCAAGATGGAAGACACATTACTTGTCTTTGGGGGACAGGATTATAATGATAAATAGCATTCTGGATGCATTGCTCACATATGTTATGTCCCTTTTTTCCCTACCTGCTAAGGCGGAAAAAAGACTGGACTCCTTGAGAAGGAACTTTCTTTTGCAAAGACACTAAAATGTTTTCATTTAGTTGGGTTAAAATCTGTAAATCCAGCAAAAAGGAAGGGGGCTTGGCACCAGAAACTTCAGATTGCACAACAATAATCTTTTATGAAAGTGGCTATGGAGATTTAATACAGAAGACAGTTCCTCATGGAAGAGGGTGATTATTCAAAAAATTGGCATCTAAGTCAATGGATTACTAAGTCAGTCAATTTTTCATATGAGACAAGCATATGGAAAGCAATTAGGAAATGTTAGGAGGGATATGCTTTGAACATTGGGTTCACAACTGGTAATGGAAGGAGAATGTCTTTTTGGAGTAGCAAATTAGTAAGGGCATGATCCTCTTAAGGCTTCGTTCTCTGATTTATGTTGCTCAACTATATCTAAGGCTACATTAGAAGAGGCATGGAGTTCTAGAGTATGGAACCTTTCTTTCAGAAGTTACATGACTAGGAGATTAGAAGGGTGGCTGAAATGCTGAAGACACGGGAGGTTTTTCATGGTTCCAGGAATGCTGAGGAATCAGTTACATGAATGGAGGAAACAAGAAGAGATTCTCAGTTAGTTCTGCATATTCCTTGTTTTCAGAATCAGCTCACACCCCAGATTGGCCATGGAAGTTTATCTCGAAAACAAAGCTCGCTACAAGGTGGCATTGTTTACTTGGCTTGTTATCAAGAAAGCTTGTTGACTCATGAATTATTATAAAAAAGAGGGAATTCGGTTAAGTTCCAGGTGGTTTTTGTGCCAAGAGATGGAAAAGTTAATAGTCACCTCTTCCTTCATCGCAAAATAACTGATGTATTGTGGCAGTTGTTCTTTGCCTTAGCTGAGATCCAATGGGTGATGCCAAAGTACTAACTTACTAAGGACCTACTATGGTGCTGGAACAACATTAAAACAAAGAACAGACATAAGAGGTGGTAGAGAATGCCCAGCATGCATATGGTGGACTTTGTGGAAAGAAAATAATAATAGATGCTTTGAGAATAGAAGTAGTTCCAAACAAAGAATTAAGTTGAATTGTTTTTCGTCTTTTCAATTCCAGTGTAAAGAGAACTATAAAAAAGATGTAGAATCACTTGTAGATTTTTTTGACTCAGACACAAAGTAATTTTTTTTACAGATTTGATTGACAGTATCATCTTGGAACTGAATGCTGATGAATAAATTGTTATCTTACTCAAAAAGATATAATTTCTTCGGTTATAGCATTTTAATTTTTTTGGTTAAAACCATCTGGTATCCAGAACTCACTTGCCCAACTAATCCATATTCGCTCTGCATAAGGCCCACGAAGAGGAAGGGGCTCCCTATCAGAAATTTCTCCATTACCTGGGCGCGAACCCCAAACCTCTAGGGTGTTCCACCCAAAATGGGAATGGGCTAGGGTTATGAGCTTCTCTGATGACCTAGTTGACTCCATGATTATAAGTTCATCCCACAAAGGACCAAGCCAGAATAGGGTTATATACATTTTCATGATGAGAAGGGATCATTCGGAACTACCTAAATAGATACTATATTTACATGTGGACCTTACATCATACATTAGATTTAGGATTAGGAATACTTACATATCTCTATTGGGACCCTACTCACCTCTTTAAGTGAATCAAGAAATAGGTTTGACTGTCCATATTTTTTATATATATTAGGACAGGATAGTTCAAGTCGAAGCAATTGAATGTCCAACTCGGGCATATGATTCATTTTCAAGATGCCTTGGTGGTGAAATGATATACACGAGAAACTCAAAATCTCGTGCTAAAGAGCGTTGAGGTTCGAGTCCTCTTTAAGACATAATATTGAGAATGCTCATCATTCACAATATGAGAGCTCTCAATCGGTATAGATGTACAAATCGGATCCAAGCTCTTGGAATTGGAATAAATTCAGCAGCAAATTGCAAATCTTGGTGATCTTCTCTATCTCATGAATGGAGAGTCCGCTTTAAAATGAACCTTCCTGCACCTACCCACCCACCCACCCGAGCATATGCTTCAACAGGAATCACACAAGGGTAGATTAGAAACCTCTCGTAAAAATCCCGTCCATAATCCAACAGCAAAAGTACATTACATAGTCCAAGGTTTTGGCCACTTACCCATTCAGTGATTCCTACATCCCTTGATGGGTTCTTCCAATTATAAATTGAACAGAAAGAGTGGATAAATTAGTGAATGGACCTAGCTGGATAAAGAGTTAGCAAAGATGGATTTCACATGTTGATCAGTTTTTTCACTTAATTCCCTTTCCATTACTGAAAATCCAAATATAATAACTTTAAATCAAAAGAAAATCAAGCAAAAACTATGCAGCGATTCCAAGTTCTTCATAAAAGGATGACTTGACTTTAGCGCAATGTGAAATCATAATGCGACCCAGTGTATGAAAAGTAATACAACGTGTAAACTAAAAACACCCTGTCTATGCAAAAAAACTTTAAAAATCAACCTGCTTGTCATGGCTTTTGTTCTGATAATAGTTCTCTTCTGCACGCTGCAGCAAATCCATTTTATCTTGCAGCCTGAGCTTTGCGGATGTTTTTGATGAAGCGGCATTCTTTGCAGCATCCAAAGCATCTAATTATAAGTAATTCCGACTTAGCCAAGAATGAAAATCAATGAAGGCAAACAACATGACATCAAAACTTCCAAGTGGCTTCAGTGCATGGGACCCTACAACAACAATAATCAATGTACATACCATCAGATTCAGATATATCTTCTTCTGATCCACTTGCTTCATCATCACGGTTCCAAAATTCTGACAATTGTTCTCCGGCATTGAGACTTGAACCACTGAAACCAATATATTACTTAAGAAGAAAATTCCCAAAATGCCTAACAGCTCCATAGTTTCATGAAAAGCTTACAATTTTTATATTTAAGGTGAATTCAAACTAGATGTTCACTAGAACATAAAAGAAAGTAATCAGGTGCTATTGTAAGCAAATTTGAGGTAAATTAAACTCGATGTTCACTAGAACATGAAACAAAGTAGTCAGGTGCACAGTTCTTTTATGATTTGTTTTGCCTTCATCTGTAATAGATTAGAGGATATAGGAGATATTGTTATGTATGCATCTTATAGTGCTCTTGAACGACACCATAGACAGGGCGCTTCAAAGTTGATGTTCTAGTTTCCAGTACATGTAGCAGTATCCCAGGGTAGTGCATTTCCTAGAGCTATTGAGCAAGCAGTAGACTAAATCTAGTGACTCGACCATTGGGTGGTCTTTAACAAGTAGTGTTTTGTTTCTACCTTTTGTTCCATGAGATCATATTTGTTATATGTTATGTTACCTTTTCAAAAGTATATATTTCCATTCAAATTAGCTTCCCATTCTAGATAGTGTTGAAAGTGTGAGGTGCCTTATTTTCCTGCTATAAATTCCTGACCCAGATTTAAATTCCCAACTTCCGTTTCCTACTTTATCAACCAAAAAAAACTTTGTCTCCTATCTCCTGAAAGATAAATTTGTGAACCCAGGTTTGCACTCCAAGTTATACACATATCAAAAACATGTAAGAAAATTAGCACTTAGACCTCAGGTTACTTAATGAAACAACTTAACGTCTCTTCAGTATCTTCCTCAGTCCCTACCTTCCCTTCCTAACTTCTAGAGAGAAACTTAGGTTCTTTGGACCTTTTTACTTTCTCAGTTTCATTCATTTGTTCACTTTTCTTATCAAGATGTAAGGATTGAATTGATTTAACATGCCGGAGAAATTGACTTAATGGGTAAATCCCGCATACAAAGAGTACAACATGATATTCTAAGAATATCCAACCACTAGCAGTGATTGGAATGTCATAAGTGAGGTCTGGGGAGGGTATAGTGTACGTTGGCCTTACCACTACCTCGTGGAGGTAGAGAGACTGTTTCCGAAAGACCCTCTGCTCAAGAGCAGCAAATCCAAGTACAAAGAAGAAGAAAATAGTGTAGAAAACATAGCAACTAACAAAGGAAGCAGTGCAAAGCCTATAGGAAGGAACAAGAACAACAAAATAGTGCGATAGTCGAAATACATTAAACAACAAAGATGATAGAAAACAGTGATTGGAATGTCATAAGTGATCCAAAAATGTAAAAAGAATACAATTAAAAAGGTTCCATTAATCTCTTCCTAATTATTTTTAAATCCCTGGATACTCTTCTGTTCCTCTTTTCCAAATTGTTCAGATAAGGCCCAAGGAGTTACTTCTCATGCTCTCCTTCTCTTCCTTCTCCTTATGAATTTGAACCATAGAAGCATCTCTTTGGTAACCTCACCCTTCAATTCCCAACATATTCCACTATGTATATCATAACCTGTACGCAATTGGGGGATGAATCAATTAGTGGTGTTGCCACTTTTTTGACATGAAACACCGACTAATCTAGATGTCCTCAAATTTTCAGTTGTTTGGATGGATTCTTATGCTGCTGTCCACGGGAAAAAGGGAATTACTGGTAATCTACATATTTTCCCACTTGTTTGTGTCATTCAGTGAATCAGAGCAAATAGGTGTAGCTATACAAAAGTGAGTGGTGTGGATACTAGTATGCATTGGACAACCCAAAGTGTAGCTAATTATCTGTACAACATGGGAAAACCTCTTTACACTAAAAGTACAAGTAAAATAAGAAATATTTTGACTCTTAATGTTGAATTATCCACTCCTTCAAATTATCTACTCTCCTTTCTCTCCATAAAATAACCAAAACATACAAAAAAGGGCACAGCCTTCTATAATTCTTTTTCCCAGCATCCAATTTGTTCATCTCCCAACTTGGCATGGTCTCTGCCACTGCTATAGGAAGTGTCCAATTTGCTCATATTTACACCTTTCTCAACATCTTAACATTCACAAAAGGCATGACACTCAGTATCAAAAGGAAGGGATCCGTGTAAATACTCATCTCTAACTGACAAGACTTTTTTTGATAAAGTAAAGAATTTTATTATCTCTAACTGATAAGACTTATTGCTTCATATACTAACTAATAAAACCCATGTTCATCCACTTCTCACATTTAATTCATTATTTTATAAAAACACTGACTGATATAATAAAACACTCAACTCCAGCAAGCATCTTACGCGACCATTCTGTAAAAGGAAAGAGAAAAACAGAAAGCAAACTGCAAAAGCATATTTCCTTTTTGTAATAATATTTGACACGTAATGAAGCAATGAGCATTTAGGGAAGATGATGAGCAATGCAGCATATCTCAATTAAAGTGGTAATCCATGTTTCAGTAGTAAGATGAATGCAATACCTGGTCATATATATTCTTGAAGATCCAGTTCTCTGCCGAAAAGCAGTTGCAGTTTTAAGTTGCTCCAAGTTACTTGTAACTAGATTAGGATGCTTGCACACATCACATGATTTTTCACATAAAGAATCAGGTACCTACTTTTAAAGACAACACAACCATGAGATGACATAAGCAGGTAAACAACATCTCACAGTTACTATTTAAAAAGGACTATCAAGTATCAACAATGATGACTGAATATACCATCTCTCCAAAGTTCTCAAGTATCATTTTCCTACGACAACCAGACCCTTCACAATACTCAACCATCTGAATGTATATCAGTGGCAAGAAGAATCATGTTAGTTATAATGTATAAAAAGCTAACCGAAATATATGATTTTACAAAAATAAAATAAAATGGGACCTGTTTGAAGTCGTCCAGGGACTTCTTCGAAGATTTATCTTGCAAGCTTGAGGACTCATCCTTTTTCCTTTTAGTATTGCTTAAAATAAACTCCTGCAATATGCTTACAAGATGTGACTTATTCAAATTTAGAAGCAAGATTGAGAAAGAAAGATTCAAAGGAAAAATCAACTGGTGACAGGTGATTCAACCATTTTCCTACGGTCGTCCACTCCATAATACAGTACACTTCTGGAAGGCAACTGATCGCGTCCAGCTCTACCTGACTCTTGATAGAAGCCTTCCATTGATTTGGGAATATTGAAGTGACAGACCACTCTGACATCCTTTCTATCTATACCCTATTATAATAAAATAAAGAAAACTATGAGCTCTGTATAATCCTTGTCAAGAATTGCTATTACAAGTTATCCTGGAAAACTGAATCAAGAAAATGCATACCATCCTGCAACGGAAGCAAGATCTCAACAGCTGTTTGTGCCTCAGATACTCCATTGTTATCCAGAGGCAGTAAAATAGATAAAGGCATGACATCCAGTATCAGACATTAATGGAGAGTATAGAGAAATATGTTACTTGAATCCATCGTTTAGTGGCTAGTAAAATTATCTATTTCTGCCAGAGAACTCTTACCCAAAAGCTACAGTTGCAACAACCACTTGTATTTTTGAAGAAATCCAATCATCCAAGACAGAGCTCCGCATTTTATTATTCAGCCCAGCATGATATGCTAGTAGTAAGTTAATGTACATTTCAGGAAAACATATCATAGACAAAATTACATGGAATTTAACTGAGCCACTCATTACCAGCACAAGAAATGCCACTGCGGGTTAGTTGGATCGCAAGATCATCACACATAGTACGTTCCAGGCAATAAATAATGGCGCACACGTTTCCACAAGATTTTAGTAATTTACACACGTCAGCATATGGATCATCCAAAAGGTCTTTATAGCGAACTGCAAAATGGAGATATATGATCAGGTATGTAATCGCAAGAGTGATGACAGATACAGTTCATAGCCTGATAGTTAGAAGTAGGTCCAAAGGTGATAGGATAGTCAAAGGTAATAAGATAGTGATGACTGATATGGTACATAACCTGATAATTCAAAGAGTAATGGCTGATATGGGTACATAACCTGATTAGTTAAAGGTAATAGGATACAATGATTTCACCAGAATTTAGTACATATAAATGACCATAGATACTTCATCTGATACACACAGATGCATAGAACATACAAAGGAAAATGCAACAAATTAGACTTACAGAGAATTTGGTCCACATGATTTCAAACAAAAAGCTACAGAATCATATGAAGCCATGTTGAAGCAATATTTTCTCAGTAACTGTCTTCTTATCTTAACATCCCCTTTCCCCTCACTTTTTAAAAGCCAGAACAGGATTCAAATAAGGAAAAGCAAAAAAAAATAAAATTGGTTACTGTATACTCATTACTATAAATTGCTGCAACTGATTCCTCATAGATTTAAGAATTGCCAGTTTAAGAAATGGATTAGTTGTTGGCTGCTCATCAATTACATACGAAGACATTTGCACTTTATCAAGGAACGGAGATCCTTAGACCTGACCTTCATAATAGATATTTGGCCGGTTGAATGATGATTTCAGGACTAGAGGGTTTTGCAAATTCAGTGATTCTATCACATCTTTCTGAACTCTGCAGAGAAAGGAAAATGTCCGAGAAAACGAATAAATCACGATTATTTTCTAAATAAGCTGCAGGGAATTGTTAACCCGAAAATCATCAAAAGTATATTTGGCAATGGGAAAGAAAAAGGCAGAGGGAAGTTATAAGATAACACACAATCACTGTTACAATGAGATTGATCTCCATTGACGTATAAATTGTAATTCCTTACATCTCAAGAAAATTCACATAACCAAACTTACTTAGGAGCAGCAGTTGCTGTCAAAGCCAATACTGGTACATTTGGGAAATGACTTCTCAGTAAAGAAAGCTTCCGATAGCTAGGCCTAAATGAGGAAAAAAATAAACCAAGAGAATTGTGAAAGGATCGAAGACATAAACGTATAAAAAAAAAAAAGCAAAGAGAAGAAGTTAAAAGTAGAAAAACTAACGACAAAGGACGACTCCTATTTACAAAAACTTCAATATAGCTTAAAGGTAGATAGAACAATAGCAAGTGTAATATCAAGCTAATGATCCCACTTGACAGGAGTATATATGCACATTATATCGGTAAACCTAGTGTGCCTTAGGATCTGAAAGAGTCAATTTGTAACTAGAACGCAAGCATCAAGGAAAACACTATATGTTGTGACCATTGTCACGTTTGTTTTTTCAACACACTTGTAAATGCAAAATTTGAGGATGAGAAAGGAAGAGAGATTTCTCAGGCATTTTATACAATAGGAGGGTTTGGAGGCCGCAGAATAGTGTAGAAGGTTAGTTGGTAGGTGTACGTTCTCTCGTTTTCCTGCTGGATAGGCTTGGGAAACGTATATGTACCTGCTTTCTTACCAGTGGTATTAGCACTATTCTCGTGGTTTCTTGTTCTCCGTTTTCTGTTACCACCTGTGTTTCTTGTGTTCCGTTAATTGTGTGTAGATTATACTGGGTATGTTGTTGTTGTACATTGCCACTGGACATTCCAGAAAAGTGCTCTTAAAATCTATATTTTAAATTGGAACATACTATCGCTTTCAAAGAAAATTATTCTAGTTTACAAGCTCAGAGAACCATGGATAAAACCTAAAATATGTCCATAAAATAAACAATGTTAACCAAAAAGGACAGAAGTGCAGTAAATTAACCACAACCATCATATATTGAGAAGGCACCTGAAGTCATGTCCCCAAGAAGAGATGCAATGTGCCTGGATTTTGTTAAAGTAAAATGATAATATTAACAGACACATAGTTAAAGAAACTTCTGACATAAGCAAAGAGATGGAGTAAAACCTCATCAATGGCAATGAGATTTAACAATCCTCTGGCATGAATCTTTGTCAGTTTTGACATAAATCCAGATGTTGCAATTAGTTCTGGTGTCACGTACAGTAACCTTACAGCTGGCTTCCCAGATTCGAGGTCCTCGTATATCTAAAGATTCAAAGGAAAAATGCAAAATTATAGACATGTTGGACCCTCGCATTTCTCGCCACAATTTGAAATACATTTACAAGCATCTGGCATCACACTACAAATCGTTGATGACTGAACCTCTTCTACCTATATAGTGAATCTTACAGATTTGTATTATAAACCAGTACTACCTATAGTACTGGAAAACCATATTTACAAGAAGAAAGTTAAAAAGATACAGAAGCTGCCAAAAGACAATACTAGCATGAATCAAAAACATCTACAATTGTTTCTGTATAAAACTTATTTGGCCAAGCTTTTGGGAGGCCAAATGAGCTTAGTTTTCCCAAAAAGTGCCTATTTTTAAAAACTGAGGTGTTTGGCCAAGCTTTTGGGAGAAAATATGTGCTTTCGAGGAGTTGCAAAAGTTAATTTTTAGAAGCCAAAAAAGTAGTTTTTCCCTTGAAGTACTTTTTTGAAAAACACTTCTGAGAAAATACATCTAGAAGCACTTTTTAAAAGCATGGTCAAACACTACTTGTTGCTCAAAAGTGCTTTTTCAATTAATTGGTCAAACACAAACTGCTTCTTACCGGAAGTACTTTTTTGAAAAGCACTTTAAAAAACACTTTTTCAAAATAAGTTCATTTTAGAAACTTGACCAAACAAGCCATTAATAAGATAATTGTCTTGTATATTGTAGAAGAAAGAAAATAAAAATAAAAACAATGGTTGACAGGTCAGGGTAAGGGGGTTAAACATCACAACATTATTATTGAATAGAATTACTCAATTACATAATATAAACTACTATTGTGTATCTTGGTCTTCCAGAAATTAAGTGTCAATCATCTTTGCATATCCCAAAAGGAAGTGTTTAAATGTAAGTTCAGATGGAGGGAGTGATAGATAAAACTCCACAGAGTTATCAAATGATCAAATATCTAGGCAAATGGTATAGGAAGAAACTGATCCCTGTCAACCATGCTGATTAAAGTATTCAAGAAATCTGCAACACTTAATATCTTCACCTGTATTTTCTTGATCTAAATAAAATATCAGAAATAGAAGTATCGCATATGCCTCTCTTTTCTCCAGTGTCATCTAATATATAAAGGGCCCATACAGTCTACTAACAGCCTTGTTTGACTATTATGAAACTAGCTTGAGATTGTAGATAAAACATGGCCTATCTCGAAAGAGTATTTTCGAAATCAACTATTAACCACTAATCCCACAATAATTTTGCCATGCTTCAGAAGTTGTAGACTTGAAATTTATCTATAGAATATTAACTTATTCCAATTTACCTTGTTTTTCACTTGAACTGTCTGGGTTGAAGAAAGAAATTCAGCAGGAATCCCTTTTTCTTTCAATGTTGAAACTTGATTTTCCTAAGCAAGAAAAGGAAAAGTTAGAAGATAAAACTATGACAGTTAATAAACAGAAGATTACAAGCAAGATTCTTATATTGTACTTACCATGAGAGCTGAAAGCAAATGACAAACCGATGAAAGGAGTCAATGATGTGTCCTATAATTTCCAAGCAAACGCAAAAATAGTGTAGCTTATGCTTTCGTTATAAGGTAAAATCAAACAAAGATAACAGAAATCACCTATCAAAGGACTAACGACAAGCACAATTCCTGGTTTTGTCAAAGCGGGGACCTGATAGCACATGGACTTCCCTCCACCAGTTGGCATGAGGCAAAAGCAATCCCTTCCTACATAATTGCTAGATATTATTAACACAAAGGAGAATTATCAATACACAAAGCTTATGGCTGAGTGATATTACCCATCACCATTTAGCTATAACATTTATTTTCTCGTTGTTGGTCATAAGTATTTACCAATTTCGAGATACGGCACAGTATGAAAGATCTCTTAGATGCACATTGTAACGACTCGGAAAATGATAGAGTGAAACTAGAGCCTTACATGTGAGTTTGGAGTCGAGAACTTAATGAAATGATTATATTTGAATTTGACCCAAAAAGTTCTTAAAAATGTGGTTCGGAAGTTACCGGAAACTTGTTTAGCTGTATATAAAAAGATCCGTTTCGTTTTTCGAAAATCCGACTTCATATTCTTGTTTAGGGGGTCAAATTGAGTGGGAAATGGGTCTAACCCAAATTTTAGAGCAACCGTATCAAAATCCGAAATTTCCAAGTGAAGCCTTTTTCGAGGGTCTACTTTGAAGGGTCATATCTCCTAGCACACAAATTATTTGGGTGGCCAATAATATATCCATGGAAAGCCCTTTGAGTTAGCTACCTAACGCACTTCGTTTCACCTCATTCGGAGTTCGGACGAAGGAGTTATGCCCATTTTCGTAAAGTCTGTCCGGCAGAAAACGGAAATTCCAGTAGCTAAATTACTGTTCATTTACTGTTCATCCGCCCAAAATATTTTCTAAGTGTTGGACCATTTCTTCCAAATGACATATATTATTTCCTATATATCATTAGTTCATTCCCATCCCTAAAAACATTTCCCTCACTTCTCAAATATTTCTCTCCAACTCAAGAAGAAGAAGAAGTGGGAGCTAGGCTTTGGATTCAAGTTTTTCTTCATCAAATTTCTTGAGAGATCATAGCAAAGGTATGGTGATCCTTCATCTAGGGTTAGCTTTCACCCTAGAGTCCATTCAAGTTAGTTTTCAAAGGTTTCAAGTTCTTCAAAATCTAGGTTTTCACTCTAACTCATGGGTTCCTTCTTCAAACGTTTTCAAATGGTTATTAATGACTTATTATGATTGTATTAGTGTTTAAATGATGATTTATGACGAAAATACTCCATGAACCCATGATTTCTCTCTATTCCTAGTTTATGCCTTTATGAAGTGGGTTGCTAGATAATGAATGTATATGAATCAAACTTGTTTAAAGGTCTTTAGATTGTTGAAGTATGTCATTACCCATGCTTATTTTATGGTGTATTGTTGGTGTATTGGTATGTGAGGCTTATGGCCTTAAAGGCATAGTATGAGAAATTGGAGTGTTATCATGACATTATATGAATGAGAATTCAATGAAGATAATGTGATCATGTTATGAATGTAAAGGTGTTGTTGTAGGTTGTTCACTGGTTTGGTTGCATAATTACTACCCTATTTTCCATGCTCTTTGATTCCATTACATGCCTTCAAGGTGTTTGACAAAATGTCCAACTATGGAGAATTGATGAATCGATGCTTTAAAGTTTGAGTTATGAGATGTATGGAAATCCAGAGATGTGTTGATGACACTCATGAATGTTGATGATATAATATGAAGGATTCTTCAATATAAAGTATACCTTGAATTGGTAGGGCTTATGCATCATTTTCTTGTATAAATGATTATATTGTTGATTGTTGAATCCTTGGATCGGTAGGCTAATGGCACCCTTCCATTAATGATAAGTAATGAACCTTGGATTCGGTAGGCCTATGGCACCTTTCCATAAAGGTTAATGATGAGACTTGAATCGGCAGGCCCATGGCACCCTTTCAAGAGGAGTTAATGAGCTTTCCTAAATGTACCTTGAATCGGTAGGCTTATGGCACCCTTTCATGTGTTAAATAATGTACCTTGAATCGGTAGGCTTATGGCACCCTTTCATGTGTTAAATAATGTACCTTGAATCGGTAGGCTTATGGCACCCTTTCATGTGTTAAATAATGTACCTTGAATCGGTAGGCTTATGGCACCCTTTCATGTGTTAAATAATGTACCTTGAATCGGTAGGCTTATGGCACCCTTTCATGTGTTAAATAATGTACCTTGAATCGGTAGGCTTATGGCACCCTTTCATGTGTTAAATAATGTACCTTGAATCGGTAGGCTTATGGCACCCTTTCATGTGTTAAATAATGTACCTTGAATCGGTAGGCTTATGGCACCCTTTCATGTGTTAAATAATGTACCTTGAATCGGTAGGCTTATGGCACCCTTTCATGTGTTAAATAATGTACCTTGAATCGGTAGGCTTATGGCACCCTTTCATGTGTTAAATAATGTACCTTGAATCGGTAGGCTTATGGCACCCTTTCATGTGTTAAATAATGTACCTTGAATCGGTAGGCTTATGGCACCCTTTCATGTGTGATGATGTCAAAGTAATGAACTATTCTATGGGAATGTAGGCTAAGCACCGAGCGGATTTGGTTAGATGGAAACTCCCCCGACAGTTAGGCATGAGTTTCAATGATCGTCTACCTTATCCCATAAACTATGTGCCCGCATAGGAAGCTAGTGGATCCATTAAGCTATATATACCGGTCTTCCTTAGGCAAGTAGACCACCTCTTTTCGGTGTGGGGACTCATGACACCGGATTCCATGACAAGCTCTCATGGTCTATGTCGGTTAAATGCTTACTTCCCTTCATGTGAGATTTCATTATGGTTTCTTGACAGGTTCTACAAAGTGTAGGTAGTAGTATGGGATGCTACCTATACATTGCACGAGTCGGCTTGGAGAGGGTCATAGTGAGTTTCTCTAAATCCTAATGACTGTGACATGAATGTACCCTAAATGAGGTTATTAAAGAATGTTGGCTCTTAAATGCTTAATATGTTATGCATGTTATACTTGGGTTATATTACGAGTTATTTTCCCTTGTCATGTCTTAATTAATGATATACCTCTTATGTATGAATATTGTGCAAAGGTGAAAGAAAGGAATGATAAGTTACTTTAAGTGACCTAAATGTGGTGCCTTAGTATGGATGGTGGTATGGGACGCCATCCATACATTGCACGAGGTATAGCATAAGGGTTTCTTGAGGTGAAGGTCCAAGGTAAAGGTTTTCATGTTGATATTGTTTAAAGGTGATATTATGACTTACTTGATGTTATGCTTGTCTTGTATGTCTTTTATGCTATTGTTCATGATATTTCAAAAAGGTGGCATAATGCATGGTTTCTAACTAAAATGTCCCTTTTAAAGCATGTTTTGCATGGTCATCATACTTAGTACATTTTTGTGTACTAACCCATATTCTTCATGTTTTTACTACAAGTGTAGGTTCCGGCAAGTGATCCCTCTTAGCTAGTTTGAAGTGTTGGATTGCTTTCCTCCAAGACTTGGTATGTCCTCATGGATTCGAGGATAAGACTTTTAAGTTCTTTTGTTCATGTAATAGACACTTTTAGTTTTGTTTTGATTGTAAAGGGTCGTGTCCCTACTTATGTCTTTGTTTGTGTCTAAGATGGCCATGCGAGACTTAGACTTCCGTTGTGTGTTTTTAAAGTTGTTTTAAGAAGTTTAAATGTGTGGATGTAAATAAGTTTTTTTATTATTCCGCACTATTTTCATTATTGAATGCAATGAATGACTATGTGGCTTGTATAAGACCCCTTCGGGGTCGAGTACGCCTTGTTACGACTTGGGGGTGCTCCCGGGTCGTGACACACATAGTCCTTTGGGAGGGGGAAGGGGAGACGATTGGGGTGTGGACATAAGAGTCTTTATGAAAATTAGATTATCTGTCACCAGAGAGAATTCCATTATTATCTTATTTACTTTGATTCCGATAAACTAACTACTTTTTTGCTACAAACACAAATAAATAATTGGACTTGGTGTTGTATTTGATTTTGCTTGACTTTTGATTCAAAGTAAATTAAAAGAAAAGGCATGGAGCTTGAATAACTCACTCAGAACGCTTCTTAAAAGATTACATGGTACAATTAGGTCGAATAAACACTTCTGGAATAAGTATTCAGCTGCTTGGATTCTGTTTGATTATATTTTATTGTATTCACCCAACAAAATCTAAAATAGGATTCACACTACATCCCACGTTCTTTACTTAACCAGCAGAAAAGAAAAGGTAGAGCTTTTATAACTAATTAAATCGTACCACAAATAGCATGTTTTTCTGGCACCTACTCTTTCATAATACACAATGGCAGTGAACAACATGTAAAGAACCTTACCTGATAAAACAGCTTCAATAGCTTCCAATTGCTTCCCCCTGAAATCAGAATGTCCAAAATGCCATCTCAATAGTTTGACTAAAGCTTCCTTCCCAATCACATTCTTCTGACGTCCACAATTACTTTGCAATGGTAATAGTGATTTGTTCATTTCCACCACCAAAACTGCAACAACACCCAATGGTTTAATTACTTGTCTTGCATCTTACTACTATTGCTAGAGCGGAATAGTCCCTCAATCCAGTGACAAACACCAACTTATTTAATTTTTAAGAAAATATAAATATCCCAACATACCCAAAATTCTAACTTTGAAATAACCCGAATTTCTCAACAAACAGCTCGAAGAAACAACCAGATAAAGACAGACCCACGCAAGAAAACACGCAATTTGTCAGTGAAATAGAAAAATTCAAGCAATGCCTAGTAGAAGAACTAGAAAATAGCATTACATTCAAATTCTATAGCGATTTTAAGGAAAGAAGTAACAAATCGGAACAAAAAAACAAATAAAAATCCTGATTTGAACAATGTTATTGAAGTGTAAAGATGATTAGAAGATGAATTGCATAAGATGAAACTACACCTTGAAAGATAACTCCTGCAAAAGAAACCGAACAGAGGGTTTTGCCGGGAAAGCGCAGAGTATATAAATGAGATGAAATTTGGGAATTTGAAGTTGGGGGGGTTTGATTTGTAGTTTGAATTAGGAAATTTAACAAGCAAACATGTTATATGTATTTACCATAAATCATTATAATTTCGGAAAATGGTCAAAAATGTCCTTAACCTATTGAAAAAAAAAATTAAAATGTCCTTCATCCAACTATTGGATAAAAAATACCCTCAGGGGTCGTTTGGTTTGAATATGAGTTATGATGGGATAAGTTATGTTGGGATATGTTATGTTGGGATTAGTTATGATGGGATAAGTTGTCCTGAGATTATTTCTTATTGAGTGTTTGGTTTGTTATATTCAAAATAATATATATTGATAAATTTTAAGAACAAGTTGTTTGTTTACAAAATTACCCTTCACTTTATTTAAACTTTTTAAATATTTCTTTGTGAGCTTTAGTTATTCATTTTTTAAAATAAAACTTTTATTTTATTTAACTTAAATATTTTTGTTTATGTATTCCCATGATAAGTACCATGTGTATTTAAAAATATAACTTTTTTCTTATTTAGCTTAAAAATAGAACTTCCCTCTTAAGTTTATTAAAGAGAAGAAAATTTATGAGAAATCAAAATAAAATAAACATAAGAATTAGTCAAATAAATTCATAAATAAAAATTATATTTATATAGTATAATTTTTTAATAGAAAAATATGTATAATTATCATAAAAATAAGGAGTAGTAAATATTATTATACATGGTATTAAAAAAAATGTAAATATACATAAATGTAAAAAATGATGTATAAAAAGGATTTAAAAGGACATATTTGTCATTTACCTATTTTATCTAGGGATAAGTTATCCCGGGATTACTATACCACCCATGGGGAGGGATAACTTATCCCGGTACTAATTATTAATCCCGGGATAAGTTATCCCGGACTTGCCAACCAAACAACATAATTTTTTTTTTATCCCATCACTATTATTTCTAATCCCTCACACCAAACGAGCCCTCAAGGTTAAACTTAAGTGTAAACTTGTCCTTCCTTTTAACTAAAGATGGCGTGGCACAAATAATTTCTTAAAACTAAATATATAATATTATTTTATTGATCCACGTGTACTTACATTCAAATTCATTCACAATTATACCCATTAACCCAAATCTACTTTTTAATGTCCCAACAAATTAAACAGATTTATGTTTTTGGAGTTTCACCAATATCCATCTTGATTATAACAATGTCACTCACTTCTGTTGCATCGCCCACTGATTTAATTAACGTTTTGATTAGTATGGTTGCAATCCTCTTTTCTCTTTTCATTTTAAATTAGATTAAAAGAGGTATTTTACACCTTTGGCCAAAACTAAAAATCTATATCTAATTAGGGTTTGATTTTTTATTTGCAGATGCAAAAGATAAAATGTGGTAAGTCACCATTCGCTTGTATTATTCACTTGTATTATCAAAAGTTTCTCAAAAAATGTTAGCCGTGAAAGCACAAAACTGATCGAAATCTGCTCAACGCTTTCTGAAACAATGCATCGACCCCAGAAATGTTGATCTTGTTACACCCTCTTGGCATATGTATTCTACTGTTAACAAGGTTGAGGAACCGTTCGCGTCCTTGATGGCGAAGGCGACTATTATCTCTCCCGCGTTGTCGCTCTACTCTCTCGCCATTATCCAGTTCAATGGCGGCTGAAACTGCTGCCAGTGAGTGAGAGAAAAGCAGCGAGTGCCACCCCGAAACTATCGCTGATACGTCTCCTGTCGGTGGCGGTGGAGAGCAGCGGAATGGGGCAGATGGAGAAGCTCCAGAGGTTGTTTGGCTTTGTGGATTTAGAAATGAGTTTCGAGTTAGTGGGTATAATTGTAAATGAATTTGGATGTAGTTAGATGTGGATCAATAAAATAATATTATATATTTAATTTTAAGAAATTATTTATGCCACATCATCTTCTATTAAAAGGAAGGGTAAGTTGACACTTAAGTTTAACCTTGAGGGTATTTTTGATCCAAATAAGTGGATGAAAGGGCATTTTTATCCCAATAGTTGGATGAAGGGTATTTTTGAACCTTTTCCAATAGGTTAAGGTCATTTTTTACCCTGTTCTCTTATAATTTTAATGGAGAAAGGTCTAAAATGTCCCTCAAGTATTTGAATTGGTACAAAACTACCCTTCATCCACCTATCGGCCCTAAAATACCCATGACATCCACCTTTCGGCTCAAAAATACCCTCGATGTCAATCCTTTGACTCATATTTTCCTTATTTTTAATAGTTCCCTTAAAGTAAAATTAGTAAATATTTATTTATTATATTGCTTAACGTGATTACCAAATTTAAACCTTCTCAAATAAATAATAAAAATGATATTTTTAAAAATTCTATTTTTCTATAAAACCACTTATGATTCATATTTTGACCCGATACACTTGAAAATAATATTGAAAAAATAATTTCATGGTATCTTCCTATTGGCCTATTTTAAATCAATCCCAGTATATTATAACGTAACTCAACTCATAAATGGGGATCCAACTAAAATCCATACTTACCCCGATTGATTGTCCATCTAAAAATATTATTATTTTCATTAATATAAAACATTCTCTCAATTATACAAATGTCTTGTTCATTTTCTCTTTTATTCCTTTTTTAATCTCTTATTCTTAATTAGGATATCTGGGACTCAAACTTGAAATGAACTCACATATTTATATTCTTTTAATTAGTATTATTGTCATGATGGGATGAGGGTGGAGATAAAAGAAATGATTGTTTTTATTCTTTTATTTTAAATTTTGGATACACACAAAAAAATATAATATTTGTACATATTTGCCTGATTAAGTCATCTTTTATTGAACTAATTATTTCTATATGAATGCATCGTTATTTTCCTCTTTTTTTCCTCTCTTGTTTGTCATAAATTTAAAAAAATTAAAATTGTGGACAGGATCCAAATAGAATTTTTTTTGGAAGAGATAGGAAGTGAAGGCCATGGGAGGGAGTAGTTTAGAGAGTAGATGCCTAACCTTTTTATAATTTTAAATTTACTATGAAATTCAAAATCAAGTCAATCATGTGAGCTTATATATTAAATAATTTCAAATTATTTTAATGGAAAAGGGCCTAAAATGCCGTTAAACTATGAGATTTGATACAATATTACCCTCCATCCACCTAATGAGTGTGATCCGTTAGACATAAGGATATTTTTTAGTTGAAAGGTGGACGTCAGGGGTATTTTAGGACCGATAGGTGGATGGAGGGCAATTTTGTACCAATTCAAATACTTGAGGGGCATTTTAGGCCCTTCTCCGTAATTTTAAAATAATTACCAGCTATAGGCAGGATTTTAGAGAAAATTTCTCTTTTATCTCTCCCATTGCCCCCTGTCTCGCTGCCCTCTCTCTCATCCCCTTTCTCTTTCTCAATCCTAAACAAGTGTAGCCCAAAAAACATTTCATATAATACGATAATTGTATTTTGTATTATATATCAAATATATTTGTATTTCATATCAAGTGTATTTGTATTATGTGTTAACTGTATACATATTATGTACCAACTGAATTATGACACTTTATATTCTATCAACGGTGCTCGTTGATACAATTGATACAATTATATTTGATATGTAATGCAAAATACTAGAAGGTTCATGTATCATTACCCTGATGATATAACAAAATAAAAGCTTGTCCTATCTCGCATGATAAATTAAAGAGAAAGGAAAGATAAATAATAGAAAAAAGATAGAATTGAACAATCGTAGAGGCATTTTTGTGTATACAACTCTACAAGAAAATTGACCCCCTCCTTTCTATTGAAGAAAGAGAAAAATAGACTCTATCAGACTCAGATGGGTAAATAATCAAATGGCATTAATTGTAATCGTTGATACAAATGTATTGTTGATACAATTATATTTGATAAATAATACAAAATAATTGTATCAATTGTATTTGTGATAAAACTTGATACAACGAATACAATATGCATTCATCCTCTGTGTCAATTGTATTATGTATCAATTAAATTTAAACAAATATAGGTGAGAGATTTGTATTTTATATCAATTGTATTCAAATAATTATATTTTTATTTTTTATCAACTGTATTCGTATTTTATATCAATTATATTCGTGATACAACAAATACAACATGTATTCATCCTCTCTCCTTCCTCTCTCGATATCGCTTGCCTTTCACCTCCTAACATGTAGCTAAAATACAATAGTTTTTAATACAACTATTTTCATTTTGATACAATTTAATTGTATCAATTGTATTGGTGATACAACCTGATACAATGAATGAATACAACAAGCATTCAACTTCTCTCCTCTCTCTCCCTGATCTCGCCCGCCTCACTCCTCCATCTTCTAGTATCGCTTGCTTCTCTCCTCCCCCAAACATGTAGATATAATTCATAATCAAGCAAATTATAGTTATAGATCTCTAATTAATCCTAAACTATAATCATTTTTGAAAAATTTCTTTTGAATTAGGGGTACTTAAGACAATTGCAATTTCTATACGACAGACTTTCTCCTTCTAGGCTTGGTGCCATAGTCCATTGTGAACGGCTAAAGAAAAAATAATTCAACTAGTAGGCCATATGAGCAATAGACTAAAAATAATTTTTATTACAAAATAAAAAAATTTGATATGAAGTAAAATACGAGAAAGAAGAGTTGTAGAAATATGTGACTTAGTTATCCTTTTTTAAATTAGATATATCATAACCCCAAATGGTAGTGGACAACTTT